GGGAAAAAGCCCGGGGAGCAAGGTTTTGAGATGGTTGTCTAAAAACGGAACACCCTACCCGTCACCTCCCGTCACCTTCCGTCACCTCCCGTCACCTCCCGTCACCTCCCGTCACCTCCCGTCACCTCCTGTCACCTCTCGTCACCTCCCGTCACCTATCGTCTCCTCCCGTCTCCTTCCATCTCCTCCCGTCTCCTTCCATCTCCTCCCGTCATCTCGCGTCGCCTCGCGGGAGGCCGTGCAGAGGTAAGCGAATCAAAGGCATAGTTTCGGGAATTCCATCCTTATCAGGCGGTCACTGGAGGTGACTGGAGGTGACGGGAGGTGACGGACGGGACGTAACTTCCTGCCGCACGAGGTCAACTCCCACTGGGGTCAAGATACGTGGTTCCGCACTTTCTCAATGGATGTCCTCAACGATGCGGGGAACTCAACGCGATTCGCAGTACTGGAGTCCGACAGCAGCGATAGCCCTCATCTCCTGGGCCTGTCACAAAATCTTAGCAATGTAGGATCCGGGTATAGCGGGGACAAGTCCAGGCCCCATGAACGGGGACTCCCCGGGGGCCGGGAAGGCGGATCTCGACGCCGGGAGCTCCAACGGCTCCGTCGACGCGAAGTCGTGGAGCTTCCGGACGTGCTTCTTGAGGTCGAAGTTCCGGCAGAACCCCTTCCCGCAAACGGTGCAGGTGAACGGCTTCTTGTCGTTGTGCGTGTGCATGTGGAAGGTGAGGTTGTAGACCTGGTGGAAGGCCTTGTTGCAGATGCTGCACTTGTACGCCTTCTCCCCGCTGTGGGTCAGCTTGTGGTTCTTGTAGTTGCCCTTCTGGTGGAACCCCTTCCCGCAGAACTCGCACGTGAACGGCTTGTAACCTGCGTGCAGAAGAGAATTGAGAGATCCGTGAGAAGATGGAGGACACGGGGGTGGAGGAGAGGGGGAAGGGGGGCGAGGAGAAGAAAAGGGGATGGAGGAGGAGATGAAGACCGAGATGGAGATGAGTACGAAGAAGACGAAGACGAAGAGGAAGACAAAGAAGGGGAAGGAGAGGCAGGAAAAGAAGGAGATGGAACGAGAGGGTGACGGAGAAAAGAAAGAAGCAAGAAGGAAAAGTAGAAGAGGGGAAGGAGGAGAAGGAGGAGGAGGAGGAAGAAGAAGATGAAGAAGAAGAAGACGAGAGGGAAGAAGAGGAAGAAGAGAAGGAGGAAGAAGAAGAGGAGGAAGAGGAGGAGGAGGAGGAGGAGGAGGAGGAGGAGAAGGAGAAAGGGGAAGAAGAAGAGAAGAGAGGGGGGGAAGAAGAAGAAAAGNAAAGGAGGANAGAAGAGGAAAAGNGAAGGAGGAAGAAGAAAAGAGAGGGAGGAAGAAGAAGAACAGAGAGGGAGGAAGAAGAAGAGAAGAAGGAGGAGAAGAAGGAGGAGAAGAAGGAGGAGNAGAAGGAGGAGGAGGAGGAAGAGGAGGAGGAGGAGAAGGAGGAGAAGGAGGAGGAGAAGGAGGAGGAGAAGGAGGAGGAGAAGAAGGAGGAGNAGAAGGGGGGGAAGAATAAGATGAGAAAGAGGAGGAGGAGGAGAAGAAGGAGGAGGAGAAGAAGGAGGAGGAAGAATAAGAGGAGGAGAGTTGTGATGAAGATGAAGGAAAAGAAGGAAGAATAGGAGGAGAAAGAAGAGGAAAGAACGGGAGTGAGAAGAAGAAGAGGAAGAAGAAGAGATAATACAAAGAAGGAAACTAGAATAACAACGACAACGAAATGACATCAAGATAGAGCAAGAAAGAGGACGAGGACAAAGAACAAACCTGCGTGAATGCGGGAATGCGTGTTGAGCGTGGAGCTGCGATTGAAGGCCTTGCCGCAGGTGACGCACGTATGCGGTTTCTCCTCCGTGTGGATGATCTTGTGCCTGCAGAGCGTGGAGGCCTGCCGGAAGCCCTTGCCGCAGATCTTGCAAACGAAAGGGCGCGCGCCCGTGTGGACGGGCATGTGCCGCGTGAGGTTGTAGTGCGCGTTGAAGAGCTTCCCGCAGTCCGGGCACGAGAACGTCTTCGGCTTCTGCTCAGGCTTCTCGCTCTCCTCCCGCTTCTCTTTCTCCGTCTCGCTCGCCCTCTCTTTCGGCGCCTCCACTTTCGGCCGGGCCTACAATACAAAAAAAAAAAATATATATACACTGAAAAAAAAACTCCGGCCGTGGGAGCCGCAATTACGGGCTATATAGACATACCGTCAGTTCCGGGCTCAAAGGCCGAACATTCCGGCTGCTGGAGCGTAGCTTCATTGCTCCGGGTTCAGAGGCCGAAGCTACGCCTCCAGCAGCCGGAATGTTCGGCCTTTGAGCCCGGAGCGGACGGAATGTCTATATAGCCCGTAATTGCGGCTCCCACGGCCGTAGTTTTTTTTTCAGTGTAAAAAAGGAGCGTAAATTTTGAAATACTGCAATGGAGAATTTGCAGACGTCTGAAATCTGGCGAATTCCTTGTGGCCGGAGTTTTTTTTTTTCAGTGTACATGTAAAAAAATGAGGCTAGTACTAAGATGTGAGCAAGTAAGGGCACCATTGAGGGGGAGGGGGAGGGGGGAGGCCAAGCATTGTCGTGCTGGAGAAAAACAAAGAACATTTGAGAGCTGCCAAATTTCCCCGAATGAAACATGGCTCATTTAGGGACTATTATCCGTCGATAATCGCAAAAATTATGGAAATCGGCCCATAGTAAAACGCTCAAACGAACTATGACAATATGTAAAAATTTACATCGTTTAAATGGGAGATTCGCAACTTTACCACGTAATATAAAAAAACCTGGGTCATGTTTTCAAAATCTAAATAAAGCGGGCTCATCTAGAGACAATGGAGATGTTGCATCCGTGAGGGATTTACGATTTCACCATTAATTCTAATGTAAAAGTTCGCGAGAAACACGATGGTGCCACTGGTTTTCTCTGAAATCATCTCCCAAGCTCAAAAAAAGCTCTCAAAGTAAGGCCAAAATGGAGGGGATATCCCACCCTACCCTGAGAGTCCACCTCTACATCAAGACATAAACTCTCCATGCAAAGATAGGGAGCAAATACATTGACAGGGCTGCCACTTTATTTGGGAGCTCCAAAACTGAAAACACGGCAACCCTGCTAATGTATTTGCTCCCTATCTTTGCATGGAGAGTTTGTTTTGATGTAAAGGTGGACTCTCAGGGTAGGGTGGGATATCCCCTCCATTTTGGCCTCACTTTGAGAGCTTTTTTTGAGCTTGGGAGATGATTTCAGAGAAAACCAGTGGCACCATCGTGTTTTTCGCGAACTTTTACATGACCATCAAGGGTCAAATCGCAAATCCCTCACACATGCAACATCTCCATTGCCTGTCGACAGCCGCAAAAATAATGGAAATCGGCCCGGTAGAAGCTGGAACTAAGCGTTAGCAGATACGCAAATTTAGGAGGTCTTGGAGCTTATAGTATAGATGGTGGAGGCTGCCTAGGAAGAAGTAAAAGATTACCTCTTGCTCGGGGACCCAGAGCCAGGACCTGGGGTCGCAGTAGAGGATGGGCGGGAAGATGTCCTGCGGCCTGGGGACGTACTTCTTGAAGGCGGAGTAGTCCAGGTGGAAGGGGTAATAGTGGGGGATGCGGAGAAGGGAGTCGGAGCTCCTCTTGTCCGGCTCCATGATCTTGGCGATGGAGAAGGTGAGCCCCGCCGAAGGCCGCTCCCCCCGCTCCCTCTCCCTCTCCCTCTCCTCCTTGATCGTCATCTCCGGGCTCCGCGTTTCACTCTCGAGCCGCTGCGCCACCGGTTGCATCCTCGCCCGCCGAAGGCGCCGCCAATCCGTCCAAGCTCACACCCTGCAACACACAGATCAACTATGCTACATCCATGGATTCAATCAAACAAGAAATAAATGCATTTGATAATTTCTACGGGAACTACCTTAATCTTAATTTCCTGTAAATCAACAATGGTCCTGTTGTAAATTTCAGGTAGAGCAATTAAGAAAAACTGTTTTTTCGTACAGTGAATGGCTCAAAAATTACGATGAGCGCATCGGAAAAGTCTAAAATACCCTCTTAATTTCACAATATGTTTGTTTAAGCCTCTCGCTTCAAAACCGATACTACAGCGCTGGTGAACACTTCATGTACATACATATGAGAGGAGTAAGGAACGGTGTACGCTTGCCTTACAAATCTCTTGTGTAGTTCTTTAAATTTTTCATCTGAGTGAACGCTGTTAAAAAACAGTTAGAAAACGCTGACAGTGCCAGTTTGAATGATCGCACTAAACGCAGTGCCGCCATCAGCCGGCGAGGCACGCATCTTAGCGCCTGCAAGACTGAGCGGATACTTCACGCATTGCGCGTAATCTATACAGTGCGCAGTCTAAGAGCTAGTGGATGGCATTGGCGGGTCCAGCAAATTGGCAACATTGTCTTTTCTCCATTTAAATCCATGGAAATGTATCGATTCCTGGAGGGGCCGGTTGCTCCGACAAGATTCGATTGTTTAGCATAGGTTTAAATGGAGACAATCCGGTGTCACCAAATTACTGGATCCACCTCTGGTGGATGGACAATGTATTAAGCTGCGAACGTTACGAATATCTAGGAGTTCGAGTAGCCCATGGAGAAATGGACCAAGCCATAAAACATCGAAATCTGCAGGGAAGGAAAGCTATTGCTGTGTTGAATAGGATTCTTTGAGATCAAAGTATCTCCAAAGAAAAAGAAAGATTGATTTATAACACCATAATCAAAAGCACTCTGACCTACGGCAGTGAAATATGGCCCATGAAACATCGTACCAAAAAGATTTTTGAGGCAACCGAGATGGATTTCTGGCGAAGATCAGCCGGAATCTCGAGGAGGGATCACGTGACCCAAGTAGCATTTTTCAATTTAAAAGTTGCAACAAGTTGAAACAATGTTGGTATTTATTGCAACAAAGTTGCAACTTTCGATCAACTTTTGGTCGATAAGTGCCGATTAACGACGATCTGATCGGAAGACATAGTTGCAACCTACTGAGATTGCAAAATTGCTGAACCAAAGTTGTTTAAAATCTAAAGATAGGCAACCAGCAATACTTCAAAGTTGAAACATGTTTCAACTTAATTGCAACTAGTTCCAACAATGATAGCTCCTTCGGGGGAGAGAGTAGGCAATCTGTACATCAATCTATTAGTTGCAAGAATCAAACGATTTTGTTTCAAGTTGTTGCAACCTCTGCTACTTGGGGAGGAACGAAAGAGTGCGTGAGATCATGATTGCCGAGCAGAACATCGTGCATGAAATTATGTCCAAACAGCTTAGCTGGTATGGTTAAACGTCGCATGGCGCTTGTGATATTTTGGCCGGAATGTGACGATTTTCTTCTCGACCTCAGTCATTCCCTGGTAAAAATTGGCAGTAGAATCTGTGTTCCAAAATACCATGGATCTACGCCCGGCTGTAAGATTTCCAATAGCTTCTATAGCCGGCTACACAATTTCTTATAGCCTTT